CCCCCCCCCCGATCTGTGTGCGGGGCTGCTGCAGTGAGCTTGCCCGGGGCACCAGACTTCCTTGCTGCAGCATTGGCAGTGGCTGCACATGTGCCTTGGGGAGCACAGCAGGGAAAGGGTCGAGCCTGCACTGCACCTGGCCCCTTTCCCACCGTGTGCTCTGAAGTACATGCTGTGAGCAGCCTGGATCCACGGTGGCAACAGCTGCACAAGTGCCTTGAGGCAAATGGCAGGGAAGGGGCCAAGGTTGTGCTACTCCAGGCCCCTTCCCCACTGTGTGCCCTGAGGCACACGTGCAGCTGCTGGTGGCCACAGAGCCAAGCCAGGGCTCCAGATGCCAGTGCACCAATTGCAGCCTCCTGGCTGCCTGCCACAACCGGCCCAGGCAGTGGGCAGCTGCTGCCTGCCACAGAGGCTGGGCTGCTTGCAGAAGGGCTTGCAGTGAGGCTCGGTGGCTGGTGGCAGCTGCTCAGAGCCCAGGCCGACTGGCGTGCCAAGCAAAATGACCTTATGTGGCGTGCCTGCTGCGGGTTGCCGGCTCCTGAGTTAGAACCTTGGCTCTGCTTTAGCAGAGGCTGGAACTGCTCACTTTGCTGTGAGGACATGGCCAAGATATACCAAGTTCTGATAGTCCTCCAGTGCCATTTCTAGGTTTCCTCCTGTAGGACAGGAATTTTGTAGTTGACTAAGAAAGAGTCCTAAGCCTCCCAACACCAAGAGGCATGGCACCTGCCTCAGGTACACACACATTAAAGTGGGTAAGCCTTTCCTGTGAGGAAGCTTGCACCTGGGTTTTGGCTAACCAGGAACCAGTCACCATGGTTAACTGTGAAATAAAGACTTACCCTTAAAGGCTGCAGGGATTAAGTCTTACACCATTTTGGAGAAGCAAGTATTTAACAAATGGTAGTATATATTAGATCTGAATTTCAAACATTTTCTTTTAAATGCATTCTTGTCACAGTTTTTATATTTGTGTTATTAAAAATAGTTTTGTCATCTGTACTGTTGTTGTAATAGCCTGCTCTTCTCTTTTGCTCAAAGGTTCCTTGGAGTAAAATGGGGTTGAATCTATGAGATGCTTTAATGTTGTGACTCCAGTCGACTCCACTCCTTCAGTCTGGGACTGGAGGCCCCTCCAAGTGCTGTGGCAAGATTGGCACTAGTATCTGAATGAGTTAATTCAGTGCTAGTTCAGTTATCCCTGCACTAGGCTGCAGTCATTCCTGTTATTTGATCCATGCCCACAGAGGAAGAGGGTAAAATGGGACTGTTTCCAAATGTATATGTGCTTTAAAGTTGTGTTATGGATTAGACAGCTGTATGTAAGTGTGTTGCAGAACTCACGGTGGCAAGTGCCACTAGGTGAGCTTTCTATTCTAGCTACAGTTTTAATCTGATTACAATTTAGCCCCCAAATATTTTTAAAAATGGAAGTACATCGTGCTTGGTTTCCTATTTGGAGGTGAATTTGCTTACGCTCAATTGGAGCTGTGACATTTCAGAGTTTTGTGCAAGGAGTCATTCCCCTGTGTGTGCGGGGGCCTTTTCCAGCTACAATTAGTGTACAGCACCAACCTAACAACTTCCAGCATAGTACCACTTGCTGCTGAAAAAGTGCAATGTCTTGTGCCGTGCCATTCCCTAGTGCTAGGGACGTGATCTGAGTATGCAGTGCTCCAGCAATTTTTAGCTGCTGCAACAACTTGAATGAATTGAGGGGGGGTAACCTCAGGGCTGTTCAAAATTTATGCACAGTGCCAAGCTGGGTAGCACAAAGCTAGCTTTCCATTCATGCACTAAGCAAAGTTTGGCTGGTCTGGAGAACAGGACCCTCTGTCTATAGAATAAAAATACCCCCTAATGTTTGGAAGACCAAAATAACACTGCTTAAAGGTAGATTTTCCTTAGCTCAATAATGACCCTAACTGTTAAAGAACAAAAAGTTATCTTTCTTCCTGAAATGGACTTTTGCACCAAAAAATTAAAAAAGCCTTTATTAAATGCTTTTCTTTGTTGGTCCTTTTCAGATATTTAACAATTTTCACATCAGGCTTTGCAATTATGCATTTTCCTTAGTGCACTTATGCATTATGCATCTTTAATCTAGCTATTGTATTAGTAAAATTGTACTTTCATTCTAAGACTCTATTTAAGTGGCTTATTGTTTTATAAAGGTATGTTTGGCAGATGAAATTTCTCATGTTTTTAAGTTCAGAGGTAAAGTGTGTGTGTGTGAGGGTGAGAGAGAGAGCAAGCGCGTGCGAGCTTGAAGAAAACCTAAAAAATTATCTAGTGCTTTTGAGGACAGGATCGTCAAATAGATGCAAATATATTTAACATAATCATGAAGTCAAGATTTAACATGGCTTCCCTAAAACATTTCTAATTATGTCATGTAGTCTCGCCCCTTTTACTAGTGTCTCTCATTTAGAGCACTGCATAGGCTGTGGAGCTGTACTCTTAGACCATTAGATTCAAGTTCCATGTCTTCAAGGTTTTGCATAAGCTCACTCATTTGTTTCAGTGATCTGTTGTGCTTTTGGGCCCCTGACTTGCCATATTTGGCCCAGTCTTCCCTTCCAACTGTTCACATTTCAATTTATTTATATAGTCCTAGTGGAGGAGCCCTTTAGGAAAAATATACTGTTTTTATTCTATATTATTTACTGGGGGGAAAAAATCACATTTCCCATGCTACTATGTGATCAGGGAATCCATAGCATATGAATCAAGTGCTAGTATCAAGTGGAGTGCCCCCAGGGTCTGTCCTGGGACCAGTTTTGTTCAATATCTTCATTAACAATCTGGAAGATGGGATGGAGTGCATCCTCAGCAACCTTGTGGATGACACCAAGCTGGGGGGAGTAGTAGATATGCTGGAGGGCAGCCTAGGATTCAGAGTGACCTAGACAAATTGGAGGATTGGGCCAAAAGAAATCTCAGGAGGTTCAACAAGGACAAATGCAAACTCGTGCACTTAGGACGGAACAATCCCATGCACTGCTACGGGCTGAGGGCCGACTGGCTAAGCAGCAGCTCTGCAGAAAAGAACCTGGGGGTTACAATGGACAATAAGCTAGATATGAGTCAACAGCATGCCCTTTTTGCCAAGGTGGCTAACAGCTGCATTAGTAGGAGTGTTGCCAGCAGACGGAGGGAAGTAAAGATTTCGCTGTATTCTTCACTGGTGAGGCCACACATGGGCTAGGCACAGAAGTTACACATAAACTGATTTAAGTAACCAGGAACTAGTTTAAACCCATAACAGAACAGAAAAAAGGGGAAAAAACGGTGAGGGGGTTGTGCTCTATGTTAGAGAACAGTATACCAGTTCTACCTTCCAAATGGGACCAGAGGAAGGCTTAACTGAGACCCTGTGGGTCAAGCTCCAAGGAGGGCAAGGGGAGAGGGATCTGGTGGTAGGGGTTTACTACAGGCCACCACATCAGGAGGAAGAGCTGGATCTGGAATTCTCCAGACAGCTGGGGGAGGCCGCACATGCAAAGGATGTTGTGGTCATGGGGGATATGAATTACCCTGACATCAACTGGGAGGAGCAGTTGGCCAGGTCTAGCCACTCATGAAGGTTCCTGATGTGCGTACAGGACCTACACCTCGTGTAGGAGGTACTCGTCCCCACTAGGAGAAACGCCATACTGGATCTGGTGTTAGCCTCCGGGGACGACCTTGTTGGGGAGGTGCTAGTACAAGGGAGGCTAGGGGACAGTGATCACGAAATGATCCAGTTTGCTATTCAGAGAAAGGTGGGGAGGGTAACTAGCACAGCGCAAATGCTTGACTTTAGCAAAGCCAACTTCGATGTGCTCAGGGCAGTAGTCAGGGAGGCACTTGGAGCCCAGGG